TAACTACGATAAATGAGGGTTCACTGTAGTATATTGATTGGCCTGGTAGAATTTTATAAGAATTGGCAAGTTTTCTTTAAGGCTAAGGTAGTAAATTTTAGGCTTGTAGGACATAGCTCTTTCTTGCACCCGTGCAATTCTGTGTTTGAAAATGGAAGACAGAAAGCAGCTATGGACGATAGGTAGTAAAATAGGTATGACTGTGTTCCAGTAAAACATTTTCAAAAATGGGTTTTGGCCCATGGACCAATTAGCCTATGCTTGAGATAAAGCAGTGGGACTAAATGATCTACCATTATGTGCAACAATCTGAATGACCCTCACAAACACAATATCAAATAAAAGAATCCAAGACAAAAGAGCAATACTGTATGATTCCATTTATAGAGATCACAAAAACAGGCAATATTAATTTATGCCTATAAGATTTAGGATTAGGGTTACTCTCCGCAGAGGATTACATTTGGAAGAGAGCATAGGTGTAGATTTTGGGGTTGTACTCTAAAAATGTTAGGTGATAGTTACATGGTATGTTTAGTATGTGAGACTCATTGAGATGAAGAATTTCTGTATGTATTGACAAATTCAACAAAAAAGAACACAGAATTTTATTTAGAAATACATATTTTGGTCCTGGCTCTAATACTTAAAGAGCTGTGTGATCTTTTCAAGTCATAGTTTCTGAGTTTTACTTTCTAAATCTATGAAATTATAAGGCTATTTCTTAAGAGCATTCAACACAACCAGTCACCTCAATGCTTTTTCTTAAATTCCCTCCAAACAATCCAATATTTAGTTGTTCTGATCCTTTTTAAGACTATGTTATTCAGTGATATAAATTGATATTTAGTTCAAATATTGAAATCAAATTGATATTTAGACGCTAAATGATTATATCCAAATATATGCTAAATGATTATATCCAAATATGCTTGAAAGTTCAACATATTATAGTATTGTATATTGTCAAATTATATGGTTATATGTAAAAACTAGAAATACAATTGAAATTTTTTATGCTTCCTATAACTATGAAGATTACATATTTAG